CGGGAGCAGTATGCTTAAGAGCACGCAGATCGTGCCTTTTAATATTTTAGATGCCCTCATTGCTGTGATTTTAAAATCATTTACATATCTGTCATGATATTAAGTCCATTGGCTGATCTGGCTACGCAGCATTCGGCCTCACTAGCATTCCCTGTCCTGTGCCAAAAGTTGTATTTAAGGAATTTTCTCCTGCTTATGGTAGTATTAAGGAAAACAATGAAATTAGTCCCCATGCCATTTCTTGGCGATGAAGAGTGCATGAGAGCCTGGGTGGACTGTGTTTTAGCCTCTCCACAGCTGCTACAAAGGCTACCACTGAAGATTTCCTTTGCAGCCATTTGGAATTACTGAGGTCCATTTGTCAGTCATTTCTGTGAGCTCTTAAACTGCTCAATAAATGCAGCCCTGTTTGTTACTGAAAAGCTCTACCTCAGTACTTTTTGTATAGTGCAAATGAATAAGTGCTTTGACCTTGGTACACATTACTCTAGCATTATATCAGTCTAGTAGTGTGTGTGTTAAAAGGTCTTTCCCAGAAATATCCATTATTAAAAAATCTACACGAATTTAAAAAGTCTTTTGTACCAAAATGGACTTTTAATCCCATTTTCCAAAAGCTTTTTGTGGTACTCTGCAGTTTCATGGAAAAGTCAAAAGATAAAGTCGCTGTGTTGAAATAATTAATTTTTATCAAGTAAGCAAATGTATTTTTTTTAAGGTAACCTAGACCAGCTCCAGAAATTAGGATGTTACCTCTTTGGGCCATTTTCCAATTAACCACACTTTTACTATTCATGTAAGAGTTGATATAAAAAATATGCAGGACCTGATGCAATAGCATAACAGTTAAGGTCCGCACCTTGAACGTACCGGGATCCCATATGAGTGCCGGTTCTAATCCCGGCAGCTCTACTTCCCAACCAAATCCCTGCTTGTGGCCTGGGAAAGCAGTCGAGGACGGCCCGAAGCTTTCGGATCCTGCACCCCTGTGGAAGACCAGGAAAGAAGCTCCTGGCTTCAGAATGGTGCAGCACCAGCCGTTGCAGCCACTTGGGGAGTGAATCATCGGATGGAAGACCTTCCTCTCTGTATATTTGACTTTCCAATAAAAATAAATAAATATTTTTAGAAAAATGAAAAACAATGCAGTTGCAGTTAGGGATACAAAAATATGTATATACAGTTTCCTTTGAGTCATTCTCAAGATTCTGCGGCATACAGATACCTAGGCAATACTTCCAGGAGATATGTTGCATGGTAGAATGAATTGGTTGCAAAGTTAATAACATGGGATCTAAGGATGACTGTAAATTCCTATGACAGTAGTGCTGAGTTATGAATAGAGAGCCAAATAAATTTCAGTTGCTTCATAAAACCCAATTCACTCTCCTTGTGTTTCTTACAGTACACAGTTTCAGCCTTGATTTGAAGATTATAAACAAAATGCCTGCACATTAAGTGTCCCGAAATTAGATTCAGTTAGTACATGCTAACAAAATTAGCTCTTGTCCTCACTTCAATGAACAACAGTCTACAACTATAAGGGAGCATTTCAATGTCAATGTTTTTGTTTCTTCTCCTAGTGACCACCATGTTTAATAAGATTGGTCTCAACTTCCCCCTTATACCATTATATTGAAAATACTTTTATCGAACTATCAAATCTTTCATATTTGTGTAATTACATTGAATCAAAGGTGGCAATTGTCACATTATGTTCTGTTCTTTACATTCTCTCTTGGTCAAAGAATTTTTATACAAGTGAAATTTGCTATATAATGCATCTATATATGCATATATGTATTATATATATATATACACTTTCTCATCAGGTTCTGAAAAATATTAGAAACTGAGTAAAATGTTTGAGAAATGAACATAAATATTTTATAACCAAATAATATTCTGTTTTCTGTTGCTAGGTTTACACTTAATAAAATACTCCTTCTTTGCTTGGTTAAAAAATCATTATGTTGGGCCCAGCACAGTGGACTAGTGGCTAAATCCTAGCCTTGAACGTGCCAGGATCCCATGTGGGCGCCGGTTCTAATCCTAGCAGCTCCACTTCCCATCCAGCTCCCTGCTTGTGGCCTGGGAAAGCAGTCAAGGATGGCCCAAAGCTTTGGGACCCTGCACCCATGTGGGAGACCAGGAAAGAAGCTCCTGGCTCCTGGCTTCGGAATGGCTCAGCTCCAGCCACTGTGGTCATTTGGGGAGTGAATCATTGGACGGAAGATCTTCTTCCTCTCTATCTCTCCTCCTCTCTGTATATCTGACTTTGCAATAAAAATAAAGTAAATCTTAAAAAAAATTATGATGTTGTTTTAATTTTGTATACATGATCCCTCAAATGCTGAAGGTGTTTTTGTTTTGTTTTGCAGAGTATCACTTGGCCTCTCAGAATAGGAATCCATTTGGATAGAGATTCTGCATGTGTTAGAGCAAAGGCATATGGGTTTTTGATGGGTCCTGGATCTAATGCCTAGAGTTTTATTTTCTTATTTTAAGAAAATGATAAATAGATGGAAATCTGAAAGTGAAACTGATGACGATAGGAAAGTCACTGCAATCCGAAGCATATCATAGTTGCGAAAAGCTTTGACAAGTGAGCCAGATCCAGGGCAGGATTATTTTTAAAGAACATTTGCAAATCTATGACCCTTTCGACACTTTGATTTCGGACTTGTGCTGTCCAAGGCAGTGAGATAGAGAATTGCTTTTTTAAGTTACTTGGTTTTTTCTACAATTTACAGTAGCCTTAGCACCAATTGCTATATTATGGCTTCAATTTTACAGTACACTTTAAATACAGAATAACCAGTTGAGCAAAGTTTCTCTCTTCATCAGAAAAAGAGGTGAATCATCAGAAATAAAATGAAAAACTTATCAGAAAGTAATTTGAAAACTCCTTTATCTTGCCCAGGACTTAGTGTATATTTGGTTCAGACTGTTACACCTGTTCGTCTGCAGGCAGGCATGAGAATCCATTTTCAGAATGACAACCGGGCAGCATTCAGTCATATTATGAAATAGTCCATCATCTTCACTTCAGTGTGTTTATTGAGGCAAGGAGATAGAATAATTTATTTTGGAGAGATTTACAGCCACAAGAGTCAAACCAAAATGGGTTTTCTTCTGAAAATTTACTGGAGTTTTCTCTAGATCATTGGTTATTGACCTTTATTATTTTTATTTCAGTCATGAACTGCCTCTAACAATCTGAAACTTCTTTGAAAAATACATACATCCACAAGTGCTTTTTCTATTACCTGATGATTTCAAGATTACTGGGCTATCTAACAGCAACCTTGATATTCTACAGGTTTCATATACATTTCTATTGGAAATAAGAGCAAATTAGTAAATTACTTCATGCTTTAAATTCGCTGGTAGCATACAGTTATTTTATTGAATTTAATTTACTTGCAACAAGAATCACATAAACATAATAGTAATTTATTCTCAGCACACACAAAGACCTGGTTCTGTGTTTTGTTTGTGAAAAATGTCAAGGACAATATTCCAGAGAAAGTGGTATCTAACTTTAAGAAATCTGCACTAGTTAATAAAATAATTCTTTACAGGATACAGAAGTGGAAATACTCACAAATAAGATAGTGTTGCATATACACAGTCCCAACTGAAGTATCTGCCAATGTCAGCCTAACATATTCCTTAATTTTAGGCACCTTTCATTCCAATTTACAACATACTAATGCTAGTTACCATAGATGATATCTTTTGAGTTTCCTTTAGTAAACAGGTAATTAATTTCTGGATCACTGTTCTTATCATGGCAAGTCTTTCTAAAATATTTAAATAACTTTTCCAGCAAGAAATGTAATCCAATCACTAAACATGTACAGCCAACAAATCTTCCACAAGAGAAATAAAATTCAGGAAATCCTGATCTTTTCAACAAATTCTATCGGGACAATTGGATAGCAGCCTGCAGGGATAAGAAGCAAGACCACAACCTTTCAGCTTAAACAAAAACCAGGTCTAAATGTGCCAAGGATCTATGTCTGACCCACAAACCATCAAACCAACATAGGAAGCATTCTGAAATATGTAGGAATTGGAAAAAACTTTTAGAAAAGTCACCAAAAACACACACAGTCAAAACCCAATAAATAAATGGGGCTACATCAAACTAAGAAGCTACTGTACAGCAAAGGAGATGATCAACAAAGCTAGCCAGCAACCAACAGAATGGTGAAAAATCCTTGGACACTACACCACAGAGAGAGGAGTAATTTCCAGGATTTGCAAAGAGCTTCAGAAACTTAAAGGCATCAAAACAAACAACACTGAGTAAATGGATAAAGTAAATGAACAGATATTTTTCAAAAGAACAATTCAAATGACTAATAGACACATGAAAAAAACTGTTCAGGCTTCCTCACTATCAAGGAAATTCAAATAAAAACCACATAAGGTTCTACCTAATTCCAGTGAGATTGGCCTACTTTCATAACTCTAACAACACATTCTGGTGTAGACGTTGGGAGAAACACACCCACTGTCACTATCGGTATGAGTGTAATTACTATAACCGCTATGGTAGTCCGTACGGAGAGTGCTAAGAGAACTGAAAATGATCTGCCATACTACCCAGCTATCCCACTCCTAGGAATATATCAAAATTAAATGAAATCTGCATATGAGAAAAGAACCTGTGCTCTTGGATTTATAGCAATGCGATCTACAATGCAAAGGTATGAAAACAAAACAGATGCCCATCTAAAGAGGAGTGGATGAGGCACTTCTATTCCATGGAATTCTACTTAGCCACGAAAAATAATGAAACGCTACCGTTTCCAACAAAACGGGTCCCAACTAAAGACTACTATGCTCAGTGAAATATGTCAATCCCAAAAGGACAAATAGCATATGTTCATTTAAACATAAGGCAAATTCCACACAAAATACAAGATCAATTGATACACAGGTAAACATTCTTCTATGATTTATATAAATAATTTGAAATATAAACCTACCTCATTCTGAAGATCTCGGATCATTTTGCTCTTTCTTTCCATTTCAGTTTTCAAAAAGTTAATCTGAAAATAGAGATAACATCATGTATATGCATTCTAAATTCATTTTCATGACTCAAATATTTTCATTCAAGTATAATAAATTGTTTAATCTTTTATAATACACCAAAAACTAAAGGTTAAAAAAGGTATTAACCAAAACTATTGCACATACAATTTACACAGCTATTTGTTCATTTTTGAAAATATTCTTTCCTAATGTGACAAAATATTTGAGAAATCATGCAGATTATATCTATGAGACTTTTATCTGGACAAACCTCATTTTACAAATGCTGTTCTTTAGAGATAATTACTACAGCACTGTATCTAGAACTCTTTTCCTAAATCACTGTCCCAGCAATTTTGACCATTGTAGGTTTGAGAACACCTGCTCAGAGTTCTTTCCTACATCAAAGCAAAGACCATTATGAACAGTGTGTGAAAGGAACTATAACACATCCTCAAGAACATGCCATTTGTTACTATGTACCAGTCATTCCTCTTTTATTTGTGTCACACTACTGGTTGTACCTGTCCTATTACCTCAAATTTTGTAAAACAGCAGTTATAGTTTGTAAATAATTTATAATCTCTGAAAATACATGTGATGAACAGTAACAATTTGTTAGTGGATGGAACACTTAATTTGTACAATTTTTAACTATCAGATAACTATATTTTAGTAAAGAATAAGGAAAAAAAACAAAATATTATACCAAATATATTAAGTATTAACATTTGGAAACATAATGGATTATTGAAGATGGGGTGCATTTTTTGGAATTTATTTTTTATAGCCAATCATCATTTTATAGCTAAAGCACATTTTAACTTTGACTACTTATATTTCTAGTGCTCAGAAGCCACATGGAAAACAGTCCAGGGATGATGTAAGAAGCATAACATGCAACTTTTTCCTGGAGATGGAACAAGTCAACAGGCTGAAAGTCAGATTTGGAAAGATAACCATTTACCATAGGTGTAGCTTTAAAATAGTGTGTCTTTCTGAGACATTTCAAACTGATAAAAAAGAAACAATCTGGCAATGCCTAAGGGATTAGCTCTGCAATTAGACAGGTTGTCCAACAACTTTCAGAACTTTTCATAAAGATAATATTATCAATATTAAAAATATTCACTTTATTTGCCTTCCCTCCTTCTCTCCAGAGGTAACCCCAATCATGAAACTGACGTATATTGGCCTCATGTATATCTTCTATATTTTAATTATAGTCTAAGTTCTCATGGAAAAGCAAATAGTATTCTATGTTTTAAACCTGGTGGAGGTCAAGTGGGACTCAAATATTTGTTTCTGAGATTTACGCATGTTCATATGTGAATATAAATATTTGCTGTATTTGTTGTTCTGTTACGGTAGCATCCACAGTTGAGAATAAAAATCACTAAATTAATCAAATTAATACAAAATTTGTATAACCTATGGATCCCTGACACCATAATTTAAATAATGCATATATTTACCTTTCTTTCAAATGAACATATGTAAACCAAACTTAACAGCGCATGGTGAAAATCCCATGAAATAGCTTTGTCATCCACAACCATCCATCACCATTGCAGGAACATCTACAATCTCCTAGCTATTGGAGGTGGACATTCAGAGCAAAGAAAAAGTATAACTCAAAATTCCCACTCTGAAATATTTTCTGAATCAATTAGATTTTTCTAGTAGATGTGGACTCAGATACTCAGAGACTGCTGGTGAGTTTGCAATTGCAGAAGATAAAGGGTTTTGTAAGCCAAAGCTGAAGCTGATGAGGAAGTGGAGAAGTGATTTATATAAGGAAGTAATTATTGGGATACATAAGAGCAGATGTGAGTAACCAGCTTAAACAGGTAAGGACAGAAATAGGGAATTAAAAATCATGCAGTTCCATCTCTGATGTCTTCATGAGCTGTAATATTTCTGCCAGCACCCAACAATCATACTGTACAACTCTTGGGCTTGTCTTCCATAAAGTTTTTCTTTTTTTTTTATTCAAGATTTATTTATTTTTATTGCAAAGTCAGATATACAGAGAGGCAGAGAGACAGACAGGAAGATCTTCCATTCTATGATTAACTCCCCAAACAGCCTCAATGGCAGGAGTTGAGGCAATCTGGAGACAGGAGCCAGGAGCCTCTTCCAGGTCTCCCACACAGGTGTAGGGTCCCAAGTGCCCATATGGGATCCTAGCGAGATCAAGGTGAGGACCTTACAGGCTCGGCCACTGCAACAGGCTCCTGAATTTCTTTTGAAAGCCGTATGATATCTGAAAACCCACTGCTCTCCGCCTGGTGATGAAATCTGTTCCCATTCCTCAAATGATGCTGAATTTTCAATCCAAACAACTTCAATAGAGAAAATGCATATCAAATAGGAAAACTCAAATTCTATCATGATTGCCTTTGGATCATTTCAATTTTCAACTAGGTATGAATAATGCAGATTCTAATAGGTACTCAAATCATTATGACAATTACTGATAGGTTATGGAAAACAAATGTGTAACTTTAAAGGACTTGATGGTACTCTAAGTTAAATGAATATATATATATATTCATATCTATATGCACCTCTAGGTAAACAGATTTTAAATACTTCTCTAATTGAAGCATATTTAGCCAGACAATTTCGCTCTGTTACATATTTTTCTTTACGTCATGAATTAGTTGAACTCATTGCACTTACAATAATATTCACTGACACTATTGTTTTCATAAGTCCTTACATAGCAGTGCGTTATATTTATCAGTTATAATTTAATTATCCTTAATTAAGAATATGAGAAAATATTTTGGAAGGATAAAATTGTAATTACTTAGACATTAAATTTGGATAGAAAAATTTAAAAGTGCACTTTGTAAATACTGAGGACTGAAAATAGAGCCAGAAAAATTGTAAAGGTATTGGCAATTGGAATCCATTGATTAAGAATCCCAGCAGGTTTTAACTCCATGGGAGATTTAATAATTGCTAGCAGCTAGCTATGGAATCATTATCAGAGCTAGAAACTATCACTTTGTGTTTATACAGTAAATATTTGTGCATGTATTTACTTTGAATAAATTATGGAGGGAAATAGTAATTCTTTATTCTTAATAGTAATAAAAGCTTGAAGCTAAGTCTTGCATTAGCCTAATTATGCCAAATTTAGGGCAAGTGAAGCCATAAAAATTAGCAAGAATAATGAAATGCAGCCAGTAATCATTAATATCTCTAATTGTCTTACATCTGGGAGTTCATTTTTCCTTTCTGTGTTTGGGATTCCATAAGAACGGAAGCTTTAGAAAAGTTATTATTCTGCTATTTGCTTACAAATAAAAGGAAATGTTCACAGTAAATGTTTCCAGAAAGACCATGTTTAAACACTATTAAATAAAGACAGACTTATTGTTTTTCAATTTGATTTACAGGACTGTACCTTGTTTCATAATTTTTTTATCTTAATAATGGAATCACCATTATGCTCCATAGCATTTTATTTGAATTTACCAAATTTTGTATGTTTAACATTTTTTACATAAAATACATAATCTTTCATTTTTATAGAAACTCTATGGTCAGTTACATATAATTTAACATCATCTTGTAAGAGTTGCTTTGGGAAATTCATGGCATATTATCCAGAAATGGCATAAAAATGATTGTGAAATGTAATAGAAGTAGAAATGAAGACTTAGAATATCCTATGTCAAGAACGAGATGCATTATCTCAATCATCCTTTTCCAAGAATTCATTTTTATTTCTCTCTCAATAGTGCTAATTATATGATATTAAAAATAACACAGACGTCAAATGAGTAGTATGATAAAATAGTTACTGTGATGAAGAAAATAACACACAATTCTGAAATTCCTTAAAATGAAGTATGTATGCTCCTTAATACTGCATGCATCATGTACCAAATAGATTTGTATATAAGTAGCACTGATGTGCTTACCACAATAAAAGAAATTTAAGTATAAGAAAGGAGCTTTAAAAATAGAAATGAAACAACACATTTGCTCAGCTGTGGAGTGATGGGTATACACTACAAATAGTAAGTAGAAATGGAAAAACACCATTATCTTAGATTCTAGCGTCTATTACGTGCCGATACACTATTAGACACATTGTATGGTTGATTTTACTGTAATGTATTTACTAAAACTATTATATAAACTAATATATAGCTATTGAAGAACTCAGTCAAGTCCACAGTGGTAGTTATTGACCCAGTAGACAGGCAAACCTGGAAAAACACAATGAGCTTAGTTCTATTTGGAAGTTTCTGGGTTATGTGAATATTTCTGGGAGAAATGGAAACTGCTGCAAGTTTCAGCAGAAGCACTCAGGGAAGAGGGCCATTGTGTGGTGGATCACTCTGCCTTTTCTGCCATCTCTCTCGTCATGTTAGACTCTTAGAAAAGTTGCAGAATATATTGGCATAACCATGAGGTCCTTGGTTCCTCTATCTGTTGGTCATGGAAATGAAGCTGTAAACTTTTTCTTTTTACAGATATTTCCTTTTTTAAAGAAAAAAAAAACAACAAATCAATGTAGCTTTATTATGATAAACTGAGAAAAAGATAAGGGTGGATATTTCTTTTATTGTCTCGACACCACCATTCATCATCAGGCTATAAAAAAAAAAAAATCCACACTAAATGTGATCCTGCTTTACTCTCTCACAGTCAAGGATCTTCCCCACAGGTTTCTCCAGCCCTTGTCCTAGTGATAAACCCAGTGTTTCTGGACACACCCTTCCATTGGCATGGCAGACCATCCCTCTCTGATTGGTGAGAAACAGGCTATCTTTTCAATGGTAATCATTTCCTGATCTGTCGGATTTGTTAATCCTTACATTTTCTGTGAATATTATATTTTAAGATAGATCAAATGGTGAAAAGAAATATATGTTTGTATTACCTAGATTTTATTGTAAAAGGGAGTCTGAGAAAGAGGGCAGACCTGTAAGTTTAAGCAGTACTCTTAGGAATATCATCCCTCTTGCCAACGATAAAATTAAGTATAATAGCTCAAATGTGGAGGGAGGTACAGAGAAACATCACTTAGAAAAGCTGCAGAGCAACAAACTAAACTTGGGAGCATAAGGAAACAGGCCCTGCTTCTAAGAGATTTCCTTCCAGCAAATGTATGATGTAACTTATGATTCTACACAGTAGCTCAAATTACTTCATGATCAGCTTCACTCCTCAATATGTGAACCATTTGTGGGAGGCTGGAATCAGCAGCCTTGTTCCATTTTTTTTTTTTTATTTGTAATCAAACTTCAGCAGAAAGTGAGGAATTGGATGACTACTAAGAATCAAACACAATATTACTCATGTCTTTGAATGAATAAACCAAAATTTTATTCCAGTCATAATTACCGATGCTTCTCTCATGGGATTTTCATTTTTTATGGGTTGGTCTATTCCATAATCATTTTGGAAAAGGAAAGTAACAATTTTCAAGCACTGAAACAAAGGTCACAAATAAGAAACATACTTACAGTCGCCTGGTGTTTTTCTGCTTTCTCAGATGTCTCTTTAAGTTGATTTTGTAGGGCCTCCTGAAGAGACTTCATTTCTTCCCTAGTTTAGGAGAAAGCAGAGACTGTAATATGATTCTGTCATTTCATATGTCTACAATGAAAGTTTTTTTTTTTTCTATCCACTTACATTTAAGAAACAGGCAGCTGGAATTACAAAAAGCCACAACTAAGTATACCGGATCTATCCAAGGATGCTATTATTAAAGGGTTTTCTTTCCCAGGCAAATAGCTAAGCTATATTTAAAGAAGATTGCCCTGCTATTATATTTTATACAAGAATTCCACTGTGTGAATCATCAGCGATGTGCATAATGTGCCTAATCAAATCAATATAATGAATTGAGTGGAGAGGGTAATTTCACTGACAGCATGCCAGGTGTGAGCATGCTGTTTAGAAAAAGTCACCCTAGACTTGCTGATAGGATGAAATTACTGTTCCCTTCTAGTGTTCCTAATTGATTAATTTGAAAGCATTGTGCTTTAGACAACCATTTATAAAGCCTGAGTTTCTCTAAACACAAAGAGACACAGGCTTCTTTCAAACTTGATTCTGGCACACTGAATGGGCTTAACAGGAAAGCATGTCTATACATATATTCACATTATGCCATTACTTCATCAATACACAGAAACTTCATCTCCCTTGTTAAAAACAAAACTGGTTCCCAACATTTAAGATAAAAAGTTAATAGAACAATGTGTATAATTATGCTGCAATATCATATTGTCTTTCTGGGTCTAGATTTTATTATCCAAGCTATGGTTTATAAAGAATCAAATATTAGACAGTGGCATGAATAAGTCGTGTGTGTATATGTGTACTTAACTCTTTTTAGAGAGAAACTTTCTCCAACAGCAATAATAAGAGAGAATCTTGCTTTGGTCTTACCAGCATTCAAACTAGTTCAAAATTTTAAATTTGATACCAAGAGAATCCCTGAAAACTTGAATAACTTACAAAACCTCTAAAGCTTAGTATGCTGCTCTAAAATATGACATTGATAAAAAACTACCTCCTATATGGGCGATTTTAGATGCCACAACCAAAAAAAAAAAGTACTTAGCAAGATGCATGCAAAGATATTCTTAGCAAATGTTACATCAGTGTCACTCATACACCAGCATCACTCCAGACCCTGATGTGTGGTCTTTGACCATCACATCCTAGAAACCAAACCTATTTCTTCATTCAAGCTATCCTCATTTTAATTTTTTTTCTATAATTTAAAACTTGTTCAACAGGTAAATATATGATTAGGTGAAGTTATCAAATAATTACAGTTATGTTGGTACTATGATGCTTGTCTGCACAATGGTGTGTGTGTGTGTGTGTGTGTGTGTGTGTGTGTGTAGTATTATTAAGACTGAGTTTCAGAGACTTATTCTATTTTACAGCTTATTTGAAAATCAGAATGAAACAGACAAAGACAAAGAAACTTTATTCACTCCTCTTCTCAAATGGCCATTAAAGAAAACAAGGCAGGACTGGGCCAAAGCCAGGAACCAGGAACCCCTTCCTGGACTTTCACCTGGGTCTCAAAGCCCTAATCATTTGGACCAGTTCTATTGCCTTCCTAGGCATATTAGTAGGAAGCTGCACTGAACAGCCAAAGTACTAGCTTGCACTCCAATATGGGACTCTAGCATTGCAGACGATATTTTAATCTGTTGTCCAATAATGTTAACACTACATGTAGATTTTAAATCAAACTTCCATTATTATCCAAATTTGTACAATTTTTTCAGGATACTTAAAAGCAGATATTTTATTATTTCTGATATTTTATTCAAACAATTTCTGGAAAAATATCATATAATATCAATCTTTACCTAATTTGTAGTCCTACAACCCTCTTAGATACCACACATTGAAAGATGCTATGAGAGGATAGGCAACCAGTGTCAATAGGCATGGCACAATTGTTCTGCAGACAAACTCTAGTCTTTGCATTATGTGTTGAAGAAAGGGAGACAATTTACTTGTTATCCTTAACACTGAAATCTTCAACAAGTGCTTTGTTAAATACAATTAAAACATATTTCTAACTTCAAGAAGTCATAATTGTATTTTTTCATGTTTTCAATTCAAAAAATGCTCATTTCAAGTTTTAAATGATAGACATAAAATAATGAACAAAAACTAAATTACAAAAATATGCATTAAAAACTAAAGTAAGTGCTAGCAAACCTACCTATACACATACACAGACACACAAACACACATACAGAAGGAATCATTGGAGAACTTCTGTGAAATGTGAATTATGAACACCCAAGCAATCTTGAAAATAAACAACCAAGCAAGAGGCATTACATGACCTCGATTCTAAATGTATCAAAATGAAACAGTAGTTAAGATAGTACATGGGCTTAAGGGGATGCATAATGGAAGAGTAGTGGAAATTAATATGTTGATAGGTGGAAACAGAGAGAAGTATGTCCCTGTGCATGCAGTACAAGGATGGACTCACAGCAATATGGCTAATAATCTCCTACATTGTTGGGAGACGCCTCAGTGGCAGCATGATGGACTTGTGAAAAATCACAAAAGAAATCCATTGTAAGACTGGAGGGGGACTAGAGAGGAGGGAAAGGAATTTGGGGAGCGGTAAGGGAGACACCAGTACCTACTATACGGTGTCGAACAGCAATAAAAATGAAAAAAATAACACATACATACATCAATGCAATACAACATAGAACTTGGAGGTCAACTCACACATCCACGGTCAACTGATCTTTTAGAGCATGCTAACAGCCTACATTTAAAATAAATTCGCAACAAATGCTGCTGGGGAAATTGCAGATCCACATGAAAAACATGAAAGTTGACATCTAACTTTTGCCACATATGAAAATCACAGAAGACCTGGCCCGATGGCCTAGTGGCTAAGTCCTTGCCTTCTAGGAGCCCAGGATGATGAACATCTGGGTTGACACATATTTTTGCAATAGTCTATTGGGCTGCTTTAAACATGGTCGCCAAGGTGTCTCATTTAATGTGCAAAACTTGTGATGATGTAATATTATATGACAGCATCATCATTGAATTCTACCATCTATTTTACAATATACTTTTCTCACTTTATGACTGTAGACTTAAGGCCCACATTATTTGACATCATTATCTGTGTTTTCAAGAAAACTAGTATATCTATGTATTATATATGCAATATCTATATAGTAAGAGGTGAAATGGGAAAATGTTCAAAACAGTAAACAGGCCTATGGAACTCTATCATAAAATGATAATAATAAAAAGAAGTAAAATTAAAAGAAAGAAGTCAGTTAACCTTAAAATAAATTATGAAAATGCTTCCACAAACACAAAGAAAAGTTAATTTTATTCCTACAAACATGTGCATTTGTGTTTAATAATTTAATGCAAAAATACATGAGCAGTACATTTAAACTGACAAGTCTCATTCCTCATACAAATCACTAGCAGTTACATTAAAAAAAAATCCTAGTGTTATTAATAGTAAAGTAAGCAAATCAAATCCATGAGCTATCATCCCAGTCTGGTTAGATATATTAATATCAAAAAGATAGAAATTAACAAATGCTGGCTAAACACAGAGAGAAGTACAAATTTTGTAGAAACATAAATTGGTACTGTCATTGAGGAAAATAAAATGGAGAGTGTTAAAAATCTAGAATTAGAACGACCCAATGGTTCATAGTTTTGATATACAGTATGTATTTTCAGAGGAAATGGAATTCTGTCAGAGGCATTTTCGCTCCCATGTTTGCTGCAGATCCATTTACAAGTGTCAAGAAGCAGAAGCAGCCTCAGCTTCTATCAACTGGTAAACGAACAACAAGAACACATTTTGTAGATAGAATGAAATATTGTTCAATGATAAAAATGACAAAATATTGCACGCTGCAACAGCATTGATGGAAAGACTGGGAAATGTGGTGTTAAGGGAAATGATGAAGACACATCAATAAAAACACTGCATGATTTTACCCATGTGTGGAATCTAGAATGTTACTGTCATGGAACTTGGTTGTTACCAAAGACTGAGAAGATTTAGGGAGAGAGTACAACGGGAATAGTAACAAAACCTATGTAATCCATGGAGAAAGAAACATCAGTATTTTATAGTTCGGTAGAATTTAGCATAGATAAGCATAATAACATGCTGCATATATCCCTAAACAAACTAGAAATCGGATAATAAACATTTCAGCATGAAAAAATCCGAAATGCTTGAAGATATAATTACACTAAATGGGCATTACAATCAAAACATGCCATGTTTCTCCACTGATATGGACAAACAGGCTAGATTAGACAGACTTAAACTGTGAACAAATTTTAAGAATGCACCAAAGCAAACTTATTTTTAAATTGTGTTTCCAACAAAAATTTTTGAAGCACTTGTGTGTGTAAGTGTGCAAGTGTGTGTATTTAAACGTCCATCATATTGGTATCTAGAAGAAGCAGAAGCACAAAGACAGGAAAGAATTTAAGATCTATGAAGCAAAGCTGAAGAAGGTAAAGAATTTTGCAGGTGTTCATGCCAAGGACAGCCTCCAGGCATATAGTAGGATTTTCCCTTTTTAAATAACATTTCTGCTTCTGTTTTACCTTCCTGACTCAATCGTTTGTGTATTAATTGCTCCCATCTTCAGGCTGTCAAAACACTTTGCTATTCAGGCTTGCTAATTACCTTGTTGTGGGAGATAATTCCAAACGTGATTCTGTACCTCATCCCACCACTATCCAGGATGAGCCCAAACTGCTCATGTAGTTTGGGATTGCCTCTTTAACTCAAAAGAACGTATTGCTTCAATGACACTTGTGACAGATTGATGGAGGGTTGACACATTTTTACCACAGAACTTTGTGTTACAGGAGATCTTAAATGGCAGTAATTTCATAATCTTCTATTTCAAATTATATGCATAAAATATAGTCACCAAAATCTTTCTACAGAAGGCATATTTTTCAAGTCATTATTGGCCTCTGTTTTAATATGCTATTGTCTCTTGCATTCAGAGAGCATTGTTAGGGACTCCTTAACTACACTGACTCAAAAATTGTTTGCCAGGGCTATCCCCTAAACAACATTCATGAAAATAAAATGATGTATTAATATTCAATTCAGGAAAAGCTTCCATACATATTGAAGTACTGTTACATATCCAAGTGCCTTTTATGATTGCATCGTCCTGACTTCTACATTTTCTACATGTTGTGATTTAAAATCTATCCACCAATTGCCCTTTCCTACAAATAGTATGTCTAAATACTTCATAAAATATAACAAGTGTAATCCAAACTCTAATTCTCTCCTCCTCTCACTGTTACACACATACACACACACACACACACACACACACACACCCCTCTTTTTGTTTCTTGACATAAACTTTAGCTGTTTATCTTTACACATGAAGGTATGATACTGGTATTTTTTTTTTTTTATTTTTTTACTGGAAAGGCAGATATACAGAGAGGAGAGACAGAGAGGAAGATCTTCCATCCGATGATTCACTCCCCAAGTGAGCGCAATGGCCAATGCTATGCTGATCCAATCTGAAGCCAGGAGCCTCTTCTGGGTCTCCCACGCGGGTGGAGGGTCCCAAAGCTTTGGGCGGTCCTGACTGCCTTCCTGAGCCACAGGCAGGGAGCTGGAAGGGAAGCGGGGCTGCTGGGATAGAACTGGCTCCCTTATGGGATCCCGGGTGTGCAAGGCGAGGACCTTAACCACTTGCGCCACCGCGCGGGCCTGAAGGTATGATAAACACTCTAAATCCTCATACTTTATTGAATTTCTATCTGAAGTTACAACAATACTGACTAGCCATCTCTTCATTACAATTTCAAAGGAAACCCCAATTATATTCATTTTAACCTAGTGGTAATCTCTAAGCTAATTAACTAAAACTGATGCCTCTAGAGTTGATAAAAGCAAAATGATTTCTCGGAATGTCTACTCCAAGTCAAGATCAAGCGGTGAGGATCTAAAAGCAATAGTTTCCTCAACAAGACAGGCATTCAGTAAACAACAGTGAAAGTGGCAGGCATGGGCACAACATCAGAATGAGGCGCATAGGCATAAGACATCTACTACAATTTGCATTTTTTTTAGACTCAGATAATACTTCTAACTTTATGATCAATTAATATTTTTTATATTTATACTTATTCTTTACTATTTATTCATACCTATTTCTGAAAATTGCTCAGTTTGCTTCAGTCATATAAGCGTGATTTCTTTATATAACTCCTTTAAGTACACTGCAAAAATGTGCATATCTCATGCTAAAGGTTTTTGAGAAATTATGCATTACAAAAATGTATTGACTTTTGCAATATGACTTTAGCATACATCTGCAGGTGATGGCACAAGTAGTACAAGGACTTCCACTTATCTGAAAGACGTGGATTCAGCTCTCACTTTTTGGCTCCCAGCTGTCTCTCTGCCTCTCAAATAATTTAATATATTAAAAAAATAAATTCATGCCTGTGACCAGTTTCTGGATCAAAACACAACTTCAGGTGTTAGCCATCAGGTATCAGTCTACAGGGTAAACATTTGTGTCCCTCACTGATGTACCTAGGTTCAGTTCAGTTCTGAACTACTGTCTCCACATTCCTGCTACTAGGCAACCTGGGAAGCAGCAATGCTGGCTCAAGTGACTGAGCTGCACACACCTAAGGTTCTTGGGAGACCTGGGTTGCACTCTTGGTTGCATTCACCCCCCTGCCAAGCCTAAGCATTTGCAGGACTTTGTGATGCAAATCAGAAGATGGAAGTTCTTTGTGGCTCTACTTCTTTCCTTCAAATAAACAAATGCCTTGTATTCAAAGAAGGGGGAATCTGGGTGTAGCTAAATGAAAACTATTTGTGCAGTTCTACACTATTTATATTTTTACAATTATTATTGAAAAGGTTAAAAAGGGGACATGTCTGTGGAGGAATCAGAATTGATGAAAAGAGACTTGGAATCTATTTCACACGGCATCATAGCATCTTACATTAAATATCTCTTTAAAATATCCATTTAGTTGAAAGAATGAGAAAGAGGGAAGCAGTGACAGAGAGTGAGCGAAAGACACACACACAGAGTTCTTCCATGAATGGGTTCTCTCTGCAATTGTTTGCCAATAGTCAGGAAAGGGCCTTGTCTTACCTAGGTCCTCTAACCTCAACCCCGGTACCCCATGAGTCCCCATGGGACTCATTTATGGGAGCCATTGTCTGTTGTCTCCCAGGCAGCCCATTAGCAGGAAGATGGAATTAGTAACAGAGTTGGGATTCATGTCCAACACTCTTGTGTATCCACATTGCAATAGTGTTTTAGCTTTGCAATTGGTAAGCCAAAGTATAAGAAGGCTACTATTGTGTTAATGATATTGTAATTGTGTTGTTTATGAGATAACCCCACTTTTTTTTACCTCTCTACCGTTATCATTATAATCTGATTTTGATCCTATATAACATTGTATGTTAACATCAAAGTGTGTGATCTGTCCTTTGCGGATAAACATATTAGGTTTCATCTGAAGCCTATTTTTCACTGAAATATAACACATCCTTGGCCTCCAACTGGGATCTTCAGGAAAGAAACAGCAGCATTACTATCACCAACCGTTTGTTAAATATGCAAAATCTCATGCCCCATTCCAATTTTGTGCAAAAAAATCTGCATTTCTACAAGGTTTTCAAGTGAATCCAATGTACATGCCAGGGTAAGTAAGAGAATGAATGAGGCCATGCACTGGGAATGAACTGAATAATGAGGTTTCTAAATGGAATTTGACACCATGGCAACAAGAAGTGAGAAAATAAAAAGCAAAATGGAATCTTACCTTTGTTTCTGGCCTAATTCCAGAAGCTTCTGAACATCAGTTTTGGCGGATTGCTCATCATTTTTTAAAGACTGATAAGAAAAGTAGGAAAAGGCAGTCTTATTCACATGAAAAATTGAGGCTCACTCCCATAGTACAGAGTTCTGACTGCTCCTAGATAATTCTCCACACACAAGGCCAGAAAGCTTCTCTAACACTAAGGACAATGGAAAGGAATTTATGACATGAATTGTGCATATGCTACACAGTAGGCAAAAGGGATTGAGAAGAATATTGAATTCTAGTTGTCTGAAATAAGAAATTATTCCTCAAATATCTCTATTTAAAAAATGATATAAAATATATCTTATCACTTTCATTTGAAGTTTTTCTGCTTTGGCAAAGTTTCTACAAATATAAGGAGATAGAAAGCCTTCCTGCCAGGAAATAACACAACTCAAGATCCAAGCAGCTTAAGGCAACTGTGTGGTTTTGGGTGTTTTAATATGAACAATGCATTATGGTATCCTTATACATGTAGCAAGCACACATACATACATACACATTTGCATAAAATTCTAACTTTCCTCTCTACATTGTGTACTAAGTAAAAAAATATGTACCACTTCAGTAATCATTTCTTATACTATAGAATTAAGTTCAAAAGTCCCTGAAATTTTCTCATAAAGGAATTTTCAGTTAAGCCGGCCTTAGAAAATTTCCTCTTTATACTAAATGACTTTTTAGATAGATGAACTGATCTTCTCCAATTTGAAAAACTAAATCTGCAGCAGCCCTTTAGCCTAGTTGTTGAATTGCCTGCATTCCACAGGATAGTAACCAGATTTAATTTCTGACTGTATCTCCTGATTCTGTTTCTCAAATCCTAGGAGACTACAGTGATACTACAAATAATTTTGTCCCTACTACTTGCTTGGGGCCCCTCGATGGAGTATCCAATGTCCAGTTTTTGCCGTAGCCCAAAATATTTTTCTCTCTCTCACTCCCTTCATCTCAAACAAATAAATAAAATAAAACTCCTTCAAGTTGATTTGTTAATTCGAAATACAAAGAGAGAGAGATTGATTCTCAGTGCATTTACTCACTTCTTGCTTGGCCACAATGCACACGGTAGGGCCAAGCCAAAGCCAGGAACCAGGAACTCCATTCAAATCTTTCAAATGGGCTTGTGATCCATGTGCTTGGGGTATTTTCTGCTCCTACTAAAGTGTCTTATCAGGAACTGGATTGAAAGTTGAGTAGCTGGTTCTAAAACTTCTTTCCAATATGGATCACTGGTGGGAAAAGTGGCAGCCTAAATAACTGAATCAACCTCTAAAATTAAATCATATTAAATTAAAGCTGAGAGAAAATACACACACACACACACACACACACACACACACACACATTTTGTATGAGAATAACTGTGACAGGGAGGGAAATGGCAATGTCCAGAGGGGTAAATTTTTGTTTACTTAATATATATTTAACAAATATCTGTCTTGAGTAATTAAAATACCTATGTCAAGGCATGGTATTCACTTTCACAGGCTTTTTTTTTTTTTTAATTTCACATTAAAAGCAATCTGTTTATAGTTTGCTAAGTGATTGAATGAGATTTTCCTTAGGAGAGGGTTAAATAAATGGCAGCTCAGTTTATTTGGAAAAAGTAGCTTCACACAAAATAGAACGAACAGAATGAGAGATTACAATGGGTGAAATGTCATCATTCATAGATTTTTATAGATTCAAGTCCATTTTGGGCATATGGCATGAGCAGGTTATAAAATTGATGTATTGACTTCCTCACATGAAAAATCAAGATGGGAATTGTGAAGTCTATTTCAGACAATGACTGGGGAAGATCAAAAAAGAATAATGGTTGTATTGTGAAAGTATTTGGTGAATAGTGGAATAAGAATAGTCCTATTCATTTATTGAACATCGCGTATACTCTGGGCATTATGCTGGAAACAAGGATTAAAAAGTTATTCCAAAATGAAAGGTGAAACAAAACAAAACAAAACAAAACAAAACTAAGATGCAGACCAGAAAAGAGTAGGTCAGGTTGGTCAGCAAGACATATCTAGCAAGAAAACTTGGTGTGTTTGATATTTACTAAGTGATGGCCTGAAAAGTGAGCTATAATTCTCTGATCTAATTTTGGATTTTTTAAGATAGTAGAAGATTGATATACCTATTGATTACCATCTGTGTGCTGACTCTTATATTACCACTTCACCTAGGGGCTGCTCTTAAACAGTTGAACAAGATATTTAAATCTCCTATCTTTATTAATTTCCATTTTGAAACATATGCAGAATGAGTTTTTTAAATAAATTTGAATGCTTGCCTCATTATTTAATATGCATATGGGCTTTAAATTTTGGTTGCCTGTTTGAATCTTGTTCTTCATTTTATGATGAGTACAGTATCTTAATTTTCTGTAAATAGATTTAACATAAAAATATAAAACATCTTACACATGGCTGGCACAAAATAAATAAGTTATTTAAAAATTACAACTGTTGACTTTCAGAAATTATGGAGGTTGTTACTTGGCATAATGAGTAATATATCATGTCAGTGCTCTTACGTCGTTTTGCTGTAACTAGGTTTAAATATTGGCTGAGTTTCTGATTTTAGCTTCCTGCCAAAGCATCTTAAGAGGAAGCAGGTGAAGGCTCCCATTCTTGGGCACATGCCACCCATGTAAGAGACCTGGATGGTTTTCCTACTTCTTGGTTTCAGCCTGGCCCAGCCCTGACACTTATTGTAGAACTTGAGGAGTGAACCAGTGAATGAGATATTTGTGTCTGTCTCTCTGGCTTTCAAATAAATAAAATGAATAAATAATTTAACAAATAAACTCATGAAATTACACATTTTTCTCAAGCAAGGTTATAGACTGTGATTATACATATTGGATTAGGCTGCTGTTGTAATACTTTGTTAATACTGTAAACATCAATCATTTCTGTTTTATTTTTTTATCATATGTGCCAGGTGTTCTATGCTCTTTGGAAAGTATAGCAGGAAATATTGTCCAACATTATTCACTTGGCAAATTTCTACTTAATAATAAAGATCTGCTCAAGAATTGACTGCAACCGTTATCCTTCTCATCACCTTTCATTCCCATCACCATTGTCCTAGTGCTCTGTGTATATTTCTTTCCTCGCATCTTAATTATTTGGAACTATTATCTTGCTACCTGTCTCTGCATTCAGCTGGGTTGTGGACATTATTTTCTTCCATTGTAGCTTCTTCTTCTTCTCTGGATGTGATGCAACACCTTGAATGAGAACTTCAGCACCGGCCTAAAGAATCATCTCTACTAATTGACTATCTGCATGCTTTCAAGTTCTTCATCTTTCTATGTCCATTTATAAATAATGGCTACAGTAACAAATTCACATTACACTTAAATAAAAAGTAAGGTAAAGAACTAAGATTGTCCTTTGTTCTTGTTTGCATTTTTTAAGCATTAACACCATCATCATCATTATTACTATCATAGTCATCACCAGCACCACCACCATCCTCACTGGAAAAGTTTGCAGAAAAATGTGGGTAACGCTAATATCCTCTTGTTGATAAGCACAGCTAAATCACTAATGCACAAGCTCTGTAGCCAGATTATCTGCATTGGAACACTGGTTTCTTTTGTAAAATTTGAATGCAATTCAACATCTCAAAATATGATTCTTTATGTTATATATCAAGAAAAATCACAATATTACTAGCTATTCTCTAGATATTCTATAATTAATTCATATTTACAAGTCTTCTTAACATACATTATTCGCTGAATAAATGTAAAATTTAAGTCAAATATTAAAATATATTATCAAATGTTTCAGGGATATAAATGTTTTGATGATTTCAGCCTGCTAACAGTTATACAAGCAGCATTCTCCTTTATAAAGTATTTAGTATTTTCAGTAATGGGGTTTCTTAAAGAGTCCTCATTTTCTTGTGTATTTTAAAATACTCTCCTGGACATCATTCTTATTTTCATTTAACTCTTAGACATAATTAATTCTTTTCATCTTATAATATGAAAAACACAGAGGTCAAATTGATTTAGAAGCTGTGTGGGATTAATGACTTTACTTATCTCATAATTTTCTTTTTCCTTTGTTTGCAAACCATGAATTCCAAGATGGCACTTCACATGGCATTTATTCTTGAAGCTCAAATATAATAATAATAATAATAATAATAACAATACTAAAAATGACTGCTATGGACAAGCCTAGAAATATAGTTAAAACAGTTGATGATGCACATTAATCCATTGAGGCAAATAAGACTCCTTTTTGGTTGAATACGTGTCTTCCTCTTACCTGAAGATTGACTTTAATTCCATTCAGTTCTCTTGATGTCTTTGTCAGCTGACGGAGAATGGTACTTCGCTCCTTAAAGACTTCTTTCAGTTGCTTCTCTAACTCTTCATAGCCCTGTCTAACACAGAAAGTAAAGGCATGAGATTCCTGAGTATGTCTGTTAGAAACCGAGATGGGGTTAACATTGTGGCTCAGGATAAAGCTAATGCCTGCAATGCCATCATATCCTATGGGTGCCAGCTGGTATCCCATTGTTGTTTTCAGATCCAGCTCCCTGTTAATGTCCTGAGAAAAGCAGTAGAGGATGAATCAATTATTTGGGCCCTTGGCAGGCATGCAATGGAAAACCTGGAATAAGCTCCCAGATCCTAGCTTTGGCCTGGCCAGTGCACTGGCCCTTGTGTCATTTGGGAAGTGCAACAAAAGACGTAAGATTTTCTCTCTCTCTCTCTGTTTCTCTCTCTCTCTCTCTCTGTATTTCTGGCTTGAAACTAAACAAACACACACAGAGTTAGTCTTGCTATTTTTCAAAACAATGGGAACAATAAGAAATGACTGCTGTTTGTGGAGAAAAATTGGGGAAAATAACAAAAACAAAATATTTTAAGCAGAGGATCATGCTTATGCTTTGGATAGATTTCCCTGGCTGAGATCTCTGGAGTTTGCTGCACAGGAAACCCTGGGAAGAGAGGGAGGCTATTATGGATATTCCCACCAGGCAAAGGAAAATACTGACCAAGTTACATCAAAGGCAGTGAGCACAAGAAAGCTAGGCTTAATTTTAGAAAAAATACACCTAATAAAAGCAGTGTACTACTAGTTAATAATCATAGTGGCTATATCTTTTATGGGGAAAGAGTAGGAGACACCTAGTTAGCAATGATGCCATCTTTCTGGTTTGGGCAGAAGCAGGACATGGCTCTTTAAGGAAAAGTCACAGGAAGAACAATATTTTCAATGAAAAATATACTGACAAACCCCATTTAAAGTTCTAAGAAAGATTCAAGCTCTCTGGATTTTAATTATGTTGTGGGTAAAATGTAGCCTTGACCTCATATTTTTATGTTTTAAATATAGTAACTTATGTAAATCTTTAAACCCTTAGGAGGTAATTAATCTAAAATTATAAAATTTCTATTAGTGAGAACTTGGATGAATTTACAGTCATGATGCAGAGTTATGAAGAAAATGAGGTTGCACCAGTGATCTTGATGGTGATCAGCGGATATTCCCTACCAAGTATAGGCTTCTATTAAAATTCTTGGCTTTCTCATTTGCTAATGTGGGCCTCAAGCATTCCTCACATTCTTCCTGTTAAAAGAAAATTGGAATGGCCCACTGCTAAGAAACATGCTACTTCTTTCTGACCTTGAGATTTTTTTTCACTGATGAACAGTAATCAGACAGTAATGAGAAAATTATTAATGCCTTCAGGTTTCCATTCAATTTCACTGACATAAAAATGAATCGCACGGCACATTTTCATTTTCTTTCAGTTTCATAGCATTAATTCAAGCCCCAGTTGTTTCATCATTAAAATTATTTTGAATGATCCTAACAAATTGTAATGGTGGATCACATATACTGACAATGTTCTATGTGGTAGATGATATTGAAAATAGCAACTCATTTACTTTTTAGGACACCATTAGATAAGCCACAAGTGTTAACCCTAAATCTTAATAGTGGTAGAAATTAAATCAGAATGATAGTAATTGTTGTCCCAGGACAGTAAGGAAGTAGTGCAACAGTGTAGAACTGAACTGTCTTACCTGCTGTGAGTTAAAACAGTTTAACTTCATGTTAATGTGGCTAAGAGCTAAACAGTTTGACTTCATTGTTGATTTCATAGACATGTCCATGTATTATGTTTTCTCCATGTCAGTTTCAATATTGAGTTTCATATTCCCTTCCATTGGTTCCCATTCAATTAGCATATATGAATAGTGTTCATTTTTGTGTTTCCAAAAATAATATACACATATGCATAAACATGATTCATTAATACTTTACCTATGCTAACAGAATTGTAATACAATATGACATTATGTGTAAATTGTGGTATTTTTGTAACTTCATATACATCACCCTATTCTGTAATTTTAATAGTCAGCATATGTTAACATTCTTCATGCATTCACCCGAACTAGATATTTTTTCTACCTTTTCTCTCATTTCTTAGTGGATTGGAATGTGGGTAGACCATACTTCATGATACATTTTCTATTCACTATAGGCATCCCTTGGTCCCCTGTACCCACACGTGACACCTGATGAATTTCCCTGGCTCCCAGCTTCAGCCTAAAGCAGCCTTGGCCATTGCAACTCTTTGGAGAGTGACCTTGCTGATGGAAGATCTCTCTCTCTCTCCTCCCTCTCTGTTACTCTTTCAAAGAAATAAATAAACCTTTTAAAAGAACACCTTTTGCCTCTGAAAGATTATCATGAATTCATATACCTTCATAATAACCTTAATAATTACCATGTCTGTCCATATCACATTTTTGACTTCCTAAATTGTATAAGGATTTATTCGAATATCCCACCCTGGATCCAGCGCCATTTCTGCTTCCTCACAGCTCAGGGAATTCACGCCAGTGCAGCCATCCACCAATGAGATGTAACCCTGCATTTCAGCTGAGAATCTCACCCCCAATCTCCCATTCCCATCCCCAACTCCACCCACTTACCAATCATTCTTAGGCAATCCAGTATGACAGGCTCAGGCACCAATCTCCTGGGGCCTGCCCTCAGTCCCTCCCAATCCCCGCCCCCACACCTTGCAGGCTCACCTAGTGACCAAAAGTGTCCCCAGGTACAGCGCTCTCTCTCTCTCTCTTCTCCTTCTGGCCTCCATTCCACACTTACCTCCTCTTTTCCCGCTCTTCTCCACCACCTCCATTCTGTTCCTGCCTTGCTGGAATAAACCTCCTAAAATACCTCATCGTGTCTGATATTTTCAGTTCATGGTAATAAAACAGGTTGTGGGAATTAGCTGAGTGTTATAATATCATAATAACGTATGAACTAGAACTTCAACTGTTTTAAATAACAAGTTGGCAACATTATTTCACGTAAATTTTAATTATACATTATTAATTTTTAAAAACTTTAAAATATTATGGCAAATAATTTACTGCATACTGAAATAATAGGTAGCTATCCTGTAATAAACCTATTTGGATGTTAATAAACATCTGTTTTTTTCCAGTTTTTAACTGTTATTTATAATAATGAAATGAACATTTCATATACCTCCATATCTGAGAATGGAATTGCTACATAAGATTTGTGCATGCTCAAATGTAGCAAATACCACTAAAGTGTTTTCCGTGTTAGTTGTGAACTATACTTGCAGAATCCCAATTGCTGCACCTTAATTACATTAGTACTTTCAGTATTCTTGGGATTTTTTTGAAGTCTTCAGTACCTCTAATATATTGTATGACAGTATATTAAAGCTAAACCTGAACTGTTTCATAATTTATATAGTGAATATAATATAAAATAGGAAACATATGTTATTCTTTACGCAATGAGTGGTCATGGCTTTTGCAATTTTTTATTGCTTTATCAATTTTTGAATTTATTTGGAGAAAGTATTTATACATTATAAAAATGAGTCCTTTTTTCCTTTGATGTATTAAAATATAATTTCCCATTTTGCCACTTAAATTTTCAGGCTCTTAATGGTATCTTCTGATTATTTGTAATATACATACAACCTAGGTAGTAATATCTTATTGATCTTTTCAATTTTAAGAAATAAAAGTTTAGTAATTATATTCTTTAAATGCATAGATTTAAAACAATTAATCAATTCGTGTGTATTTTTTTTTGCTGGTTTTGCAAACTGTGCATTATTTTTACCTCTGTTTTATGTGCTAACAGTTATGGTGCTTTTTTTCCCCATCTATACATAATTGTCTCAGCACCATTTGGTGATCATATAGGTAAATTTCAGTATTTTGATAAACTGTCATTTTTCATCACTTTTCTAAATTAGAATGATCTATATCATTTTGACTCTGACATTGGTTTATTTTTCATTCTTTTATTAAAATTCTACTTTTTCTTTATTTGTAGCCTTATAATTATGTAGTACACAGATACCAAAGCAAATCTTGAAGTCTGTCATTTTCTTCAAGATAGTCTGTTTTCTCATGCCCCCTTGAATTTTCATATACATTTTTAAAATGTCTCCCAATTGCAGCCAAACTAAAACAATATATTTAGGAATTGGATTGCTTTATTGACATTTTGAAAATACTAACTTTTCTGCATCATAAGTACTTTGTATACTATTATGTACTTATAGATGTTTTGATATTTTTTCTTAACGGCTCATGGTTTTCAATGTAGTTGCTGTATGTGCTTTAAATTTATTTCTAAATATTTAGAAAGTATTTCATGCTATTTTAAGTATTATCCCTTCATAAACCACCTCAATTTTCAACAGCATAACATTGAAATCTAAAAACTATTTTTAAGTTTTTTGTGTTTAACATGTCACATGTCTTTGCATAAAAAAATATAGGTTATTTTGTACTTTTTGTGTTTTCTTTTTAAGATTTATTTATTTATTTATTTATTTATTTATTGGAAAGGCAGATATACAGAGAGGAAAGACAGAGAGGAAGATCTTCCGTCCGATGATTCACTCCCCAAGTGAGCACAATGGCCAATGCTATGCTGATCCAAAGCCAGGAGCCTCTTCCGGGTCTCCCACGCGGGTGCAGGGTCCCAAAGCTTTGGGCCGTCCTCGACTGCTTTCCCGGGCCACAGGCAGGGAGCTGGAAGGGAAGCGGGGCTGCCGGGATAGAACTGGCGCCCATATGGGATCCCGGGCATGCAAGGCAAGGACCTTAACCACTTGCGCCACTGCGCTGGGCCTGTACATTTTGTGTTTTCAAAAATATTGCCTGTAAGTATGATAGTCTCTCTTTAATTAATTATTAAGCACCAAAGAATTCTTTCTTTATATTGCTTAGTTGTAAATATGTGACAACGATTTCTATAGACATTTTTAGCTAGTGTACTTTTTCTTATTTTTAATATAAGTATACAGAAGCAAAATATTACCTTTGCAGTTTCTTAAGCATTTTGTTTAAGTCAAGA